ATTTTTTAAATAAGAAATTAAAAAAGGTACCGAACGACACAATAGATTATGGACAAAGTATCAAATTTTCGCCTACCTGTGACGCTCAGTGTTTTTCGTGGGGATGAATCCGCTTCAACTGTTTCGGCGGTCGAAAATAAATTAAGCATAAATTTATAATGCGCCGAATTGAAAAAACTGATGCTGCTGTGTGCCGCCTCATGAGATGCGAACTACCCTTTAACTAAAACGCAATTTTACGCATGAACTGGTCATTTATATTCATACTTGTTTAACTTTTTTTCAAGTTAAACGATCGTTTAAACCGTTTGTTATTTCCCACGGATCGAAGCACAAACATATGTTTTTGCGGCACAAGTAAGGAATTATTGTTTTGACGTAGGGATTTTTGGCGTTCAGCGCAAAATTTCGAACATGCTTTTTCGCTCCTTCGTATAACGGTTTTCGTATTATGCTGGGACGCTATAAAACTTCTACACGAAAATCGTGTGAACAAATATTGAATAAAGCAAACACAATCACGAATTCAGTTGTACGATTACAATAATCGCGCTATGACCAGCAAGTAATTAATGAGAACAATAAAGTAAAATGAAATTTACTCGACAATCCCACCAGATGAATTCCGAATAAAAAAAAAAGAATCACTGCCGGCGCTATTCTTACGTAGCAATATCTATGTGGGACAAACAAAATGGTGTTGGACTCACTTAAGAAGCGATCAGATAGCCAGGGACCTAATACTTAGTCATCAGCATCAGTGATTGTCTAAATAGTGCCACGTCATTCCTTATTGTATATTTTATACGAGAGTATAGAGCGGCGCCTATACAATGCTTCTTGTACAGGGTGTCTTAGGCGAAAATCCAATATCATCTCTATAGATTGACGTACTTTTTTTAACGATTAAAGAAATTTTACGTATTGCAGTATTTTAAACTAAACTTATGTTTCCTATATTGTTGCATATTAATGTGTCGCGAAATAAACGGCATAATATCAAATTGTTATGTTAATTAATTAGAAAGTAAATGTACAACCCTCGTATTTGGGGCTACTTTGATAGATCAGTGCCTGCAAACACTGGACCAGAGAATAACAAAACAAAAAGTAATATACAGTGGAATGTTGCTTATAATTAATATTAAATTAATACATTTTTTATACAATATGAAATCTATTAGCTCTTAAAATTAATACAACAGGGTATATTTCCTTTCTTGCAATTAAAACAGATAAAAAGTTGGAACGGGGACCACATATCCAAAGTGTGATAGTATCTAGATTTAGATGCGGACTTTCCGTTTTGGAGTAACTCTTCCGGTTTTGGTAGAATGTTCTTTCTATTAAAAAAATGTATAATGTAGATCTGTGGAAAATAGTATTCTGATACACACAGATAAGGTTTGTTAGCTTGGCACATAAACATCATTCTGTAGCTAGATATAAATCAATAGTTATTATTCGTAATATGCCTTCATCGAAATTTCTTTCTTTAGCTATAAGGAAAAATCAAATTTAAGAAAATATATTGCAAATGTATATATAATTTTATATCTAGACTTCTAATTTGTATATACAGATGATCATTTTTAAATACTCTTTTTTTCCTTTTTTAAGACTTATTTTTATTATTCCTTTAGACTACTTTAGCCTATATCGGGCTAAGGTTTTTTTATTTTAGTAATTTGGAACGAATAAACCATATTTCTATAGAAAACTGACGTACATTAGCCTGCGATTTCGTATGGTAGTCATTCCCATTATGGTAAAATCTGATGATTTTGTAAACAACTTTGCATTGTTCAATTTGTAAGATTTCTTTTACTGTATTTAATTTATATTCGGTATAGATTTTATTTATTTTTATTCTGATAGATATATTTTTATATCTCGACTTCTAATTTGTATATACAGATGATGATTTGGAAATACTGTTTTTTTTCCTTTTTTAAGACTTTTTTATTATTCCTTTAGACTACTTTAGCCTATATTGGGCTAAGGTTTTTTTATTTTAGTAATTTGAAACGAATAAACCATATTTCTATAGCAACCTGACGTACATTAGCCTGGGATTTCGTATGGTAATCATTTCCATTATGGTAAAATCTGATGATTTTGTAAACAGCTTTGCATTGTTCAATTTGTAAGATTTCTTTTACTGTATTTAATTTTTATTCGGTATAGATTTTATTTATTTTTATTCTGATAGATATATTCTTATATCTCGACTTCTAATTTGTATATACAGATGATGATTTGGAAATACTCTTTTTTTTCCTTCTTTAAGACTTATTTATTATTCCTTTAGACTACTTTAGCCTATATTGGGCTAATCTTTTTTTATTTTAGTAATTTGGAACGAATAAACCATATTTCTATAGAAACCTGACGTACATTAGCCTGCGATTTCGTATGGTAGTCATTCCCATTATGGTAAAATCTAATATTAATGTTACAGTTTTGTATATTACTGATGATTTTGTAAACAGGTTTGCATTATTCAATTTGTAAGATTTCTTTTACTGTATTTAATTTTTATTCTGTATAGATTGTGTTGGAACTAGTAAACCAATCAAAATTAGGTAATATTTTTAAAATTTTATAAACTTTTTTTAAGCAAATAATTTCAGCTATTTTATCTGAATTGCCTGATTCTTTCGTGAGAACAACACGTAGATATTCCATATACAAATATATAGTATGATCGCCAAACTTGGAATTTCTAAATATTAACGATTCATCAACGATGACATATACACCTACCGAACGAACATGGAAGGATATTTCGATTTTATTGTAAAACCCAATGAACGCTAACGAAGTATTCGGTAGCTTTATAATTTATACACATATTGTGATGTCGAAAATATTTCATTTGGGCTCATTGTACCGTGTTCGTTTTAATAGTTATAAAGAAGCTCTATTGGAAAGAGACATTAATCTTGCCGGCACACAAGTGTTCGCCGACTGTTTAATCGATGCCACTGTCGAATTATTAAATAACAATTTTCCTATCGGCCAAATATATGATATATAAGAATTCTACTTTCCTATTCGGCTAATTATTTAGAAAGAGTTTGTTAGTTCCGCTACCAACTCTCGATGACTTCTAAGCTTACCTGATCTGAATTCGGACCAATATAAGTCGCTTTGCCTCAAAGGGAAAATACAATTACACGACTGGTTAAACTAACGTTTATTATATGTTTTAAAAACAAACTATCACGGTCAAAGCACGTCAGTTAGACAATCGTACTTAAAACTTCTTTTGTCAGCGAGGCCAGGGGCCCACCCATGAAGTTTGTAGCTTTACGAGCCTATTTTAAATATGCAACTGTCTTCTCTTATACCTATCAAAACCTTCTAGGCTGTATGCCCCGTTTGATTTTCAAGTCGGGACATCCGAATGAGGTAATCGGACCTTAATCGCTCTTATTCCTAACACAATCGTTTTATTTTATCTTACTTTCACTCACTCACTATTCTATCAGATTTTCCGGTTGTTTAAAGCGTAACATATAAAAATATCTTTCCACCAATCCTGGATGCGTAATTTAAATAAATCAAATCAAGTCAAAATTAAAAATTTGTGTCTGTCAAAATTTTTTGAGGGACTAAGAACACAAAAAGCCAAGAAGCACTTAGAACTACCTATCTGTTTTTGTTATAATTCATATATTTTGCACCGTGGGCGATAATAAATTGAGATAAGAAAATGCATAAGTTCGAATTGAACCCCATCAAAATTGTATGGGTATTTCTTGGTTGCTAAATTTTATATCAAAATTTGAGTTCAGAATTGGTTCGTGCATTAAAAAAGTCGAGCGGCTTCGTTTTCTAAAAAATGTACCCAAGATGTCATTTTGTAAAGGATTTTTAAACAAACGTACTTAACAAAAGTTGCCGTTTAAAAGTAAAAAATAGACAAAAATGCATCAATTATTATTTTTATGCTAATTCTTTCCTTCGTCACTTAGGACTGGAAGCTTTTAACATTTTAACGTAGATGTTACTGTGAATTTTTTGTATGTATAATGGTGCTTATTTGTAAAATTGGATATTTACCACTCTTATAACTCAGCATCATTTATTGCTGTTTGCTATTTCTAAGTTTAATGTTAACAATAACGATACTAAAAATAAAAATGTCCAGTCTGTATGTATGACTTTTACCGAATTTGAAGCACAAACTTATGCGAAGCTCAAATATTTGATAACTTTTTCTATATAAGTGTAAGTGCCTTTTTTTATTAACTTAATTTTGAGATGTGTAATATATGTAATGGATAGTTTTCAAAGAAAACGAAGTATCTGCTCAGTAACGCGTCTAATAATTGTACGGGTTTTAAAAAATGAAAATTAGAAGAAAAAAAACGGGGTTCGGTCTGATACAAGCGCGCCATCTCGTATCGATGAAACGAAACGTAACGGGTTCATACTCGAGGCACGAACCGCATCACGTAATGAAATGTATTATTCTTTAAAATACCGCTAAAATGGTCTCAGTTTTTACATCGGTAATTAGAAATGCGGTGCCTAATGAGCAATTACTTTTTTACACCGGAGCAATTTTAAAATGACTGTAATATCGTACGGACGCTGGTGGTCGAAGTGGGGAGGGGGCCTTTAGGTAGGCGCTTTTTTTTTTTTTGGGAAATATTATGTGCGTGAATTAATGAGTAGGATAGATCGTCTGGCGTTGCGTTGTTTCGGAGCGAAAAATCGAAATATTAGCCGACTAAATGAGCGATTTTCTCGTCTTGAAAACAAAAACGATCACGACAACGCGTAAGCGGCGAATCATCCACTCGACATAGTCCGTGCCGTAGCACGGTCGCCGAGCGAGCAAGAAGAGAGCACAGAGGGGGTGCAGTGTGTCCCTGCAAAGGGGTATCGTCACCTACACTTGGCGTCCACCTTTGTCAACCCCCCCTATTCGGCGGTAGGCCCCGCCCCGTCAAGTGCGCACGCTGAGTTACCCCCCACTTTTGTTCCAGCATTGGACAAGTTGGGACTGCGACATCTCTTCAGTATCAGTGCTTATGAGCCGGTAGACGTGAATGCGGTGTCTGATGTCGCCAGTTTGATCCTGTACGGGTGTCAAACGATACCGATCCGTCTTAAATTGCTTCTCGATCGATTGTTGTCTGTGCTAAGTAAGGAACAAGTGATTCGAGTGTTGCATGGATTTGGTTGGACCGCGGACGACTACTCTAGAGGATATATTTTGCAGGTACGTACGTTCGCCGATTATTTTTTTTTGTTTTTCTCCTCCGGTCCATAACCTGCACAACGCGATGCGCGATGAGCCCCGGTTTCGTCGGCGAATTTTGCTTACAGCGCCCGTTTCTTATCTCCAATTAATTTTATTATCGGTTAACGTACCCGCGCCGAAAGATCCGGGGAAATGGTCTCCTTCGTTCGTTTTTCTTTTTTAATTTTTTGACACGCGCCTTTAACCACGCCAAAACGTTACGTGTTTAGCCGATAATATTTATTTTCGTATTAAAGCGAGGCTGTCGCTAATACGCTTTTAATTGTACACATTTTTCGCTGTGTATACCCCGACTTTAACAGTTATTTGACGATTAGCGCGATGGTATAATTTACCAACCCGGTCGTTACGTTTTTTTTTTTTTCGCGGGGGGCCTCGTTTTACGTTTTTAACGTTTAAGTATGCAGAGAACGCATAGTAAGAACAATTACATGGCATCATGCGTTTTCGATCCTCGCGTACCTATTTAATATTTAAAATATATTTCGTGCGGCGTTTAAAAAGGGAAAAACTCGCGGACCGTGCAATTACACCGCGTTTATCGTATTATCGCGTTCGGCCGCCGTTTCGGTTTTCGTCTCGTTATTATTACTATTATTATTGATCTAATGCCCGCCTTCCCTCCTGTCGGCGCGTTTTGAATAGCAAAAAAAAAGAAAATGAAAAAGGGCTTTCCTAATAACAAGCGGGTGGGCTATATCGATGTTAATTAGACGCGGCGAAATTAATTTGGCAAATAATGGCGACGGATATAAATAATCGAAAAATCGCGCGCGAACGTTTGCCGACGGAAGACGAGAAAGCTGACGACACCGCGGAGCCATCTATAAAGCGGGTTCACACGGCGATAAACTCGGGAAATTCGCTCGCATCTAAACTAAACTGCAAAATGAAAAAAATGGCGATTTTTGACAGGCCCTAAGGTCGAAAACTTTTGATAAATCGAACCGCAAGATTTCGGGAAATTTTGGAATAATCTCGCCACATTTTTTATTAGTTTTGGTTATCTAGCAACAATGATTACTATAGATAGATGGTTTTTGCAATTTAAAACGAAATGTCATTGATAAGCGAAAGTAACGTCGGGTTTATTTTATAATTCATAAATAATATAACTAAGTAGACTTGAGGGTGTTAGTTCAAATTAATATAAGCTACGACAAGAATAGCAGTTGCACTAATAATAGGAGTCTTATTTACCGGTGCAAAAGGGTTTAATAGAATAAATATATATGTTAAAAAATAAATAAAATGCAATAACAGCTGTTTGGGCAAGGGCGATAATCGTAATTGCCAAAACAAAAATATTTCGCGGATTTTACTTTACACTTCTACAACTTATGTTATACTTACTGTTTTCTTGCCGCCAAAGAATGACCCAATTTCCGTCGTTTTTTTTTAATGCATTGCGGCGATCTTTTAGGGGTGTCTCGGTAGATTTTACGAGCGTTAATAAGTTGTTTTCGCAACATTGGGGCCACTTTGACTTGCCGATGTCATAAAGCACATATAAATATACGGTTTTAATTATTCCTGTGCACCTCAATCGAAGTGCAACAGCAACAAGAATAACAGTTTCATTTATATAGGAACAAGAATTATAGTGGAGAAAACAATGCGAAAATCATTATTATCGATATGTCATAAATTATATATTAGCTGAACTGAGGTGGCTTTTACTTGATGAAAATCCATTTGTCAAAATAAACAAGAACTAAAAGTTCAGATTTTGATAAAGACGGGATGTTGTCGAAACAATTTTCATGTACAAATATATAATTTCGTGAAAATCTGAACTTTTAGTTCTTATTTATTTTTATATATTAGTTTTAATTATCCCACAGATCGTAATGAAAATGTAAGAGCTAGCTGGAATGGGAGTTTTGCTAGAACCAGTCATAATTTCCAAAAAAAAAATCAAAGAGGGTTTTGTGGATTTTTTAAGATTTTTATATATCATAAATATTAGTATGTAACACGTTCGATAATGGCTAGCTAAAAGGATATTTCAATGTCGTTAAAATGTATAAAAGAAATTAATAAAATATAAAAATCCAATGTGAAATAATTGTCCTCAAATATTTTTCCGGTATATCGTTATAATTTGGTAAACAGGCCTTAAGTGTAAATAACTATTAGCGATGAGGGTGGGTCTTTATGTACGGGGGAAGGGGTAGGGTTTCGACATTTTAATGAATGTCATTAACGTATCAAAAACCGTTCCGCGATAGGGTTTGATGTTTCGTCCGCGTGAAATCGAGGTAAAAACTAAAAGGGCAGGTGACTTGACTATCGTCGGGTTTATTTTTAAAGTATGGGAGACATTCCGCAGACATCGTTCCTTAAACACTCGTGTCAACGATATAGCGGCGGTTCGTTAAATATACAAATCTTATTTTCGGGTTCACTACGCCAAATTTCACGCCCGGAAAGTCGCGAGCCGATTTGGTGAGTTTCTTATTCGACTTTGCCACATTTACTAACCTAAAATAAAATCACCAAGATAAGTAGTTTGCGTTCGGAATATTTCAGAATAAACCTAATGCGATTCGAGTTACGTAATTTTCTCTGTTTAAATTATTTTTATAGGGAGAATAAAACTAGCGAATTACATTAAAAAAGTAAATTCTCTATACGGAAATAAAATGTATGTTTAAAGGAGTTTGCCGGATTGGACTTTTTCCAGGGCCGTAACTTCGTCATTTACATTCACCAAGCGACAAAAAAGAAATTTCCAATAAAGTTTTGAAAATAGCAGCTCGGTTATAGGAGAAATTCAAATAGAAAAAAAATTTTTGTTTCTCAACTCTGGGCAATTTCAATATCCTTTATTTTATCAGGATTGGGCGTTTTTTAGGACCCAAACTTTTTCATAAAAAATAGCGAAATGGCAGGGAAAAATATGCTGAAAATAGAAACTGGATTATAATTGGAAGATTAAATAGATAGAAATAGAAACAGAGATGTTTTTTCTCAACTGTAGTGCAAACCTCAATCTATTTTAGCAGTTCTGGGCGTTTTTAAGCAGCGATTTATTAAGGTCTTTGTATATGATTAAATGTGCATAGCATGAAACCTTTTTTTGTTATCGTATTTGGTTTATTTTGCATAAAAAGTCATTATAAATAAAAATAAAAATTGGTTCACCATATATATAAATTTGCATAAGTTTTTCGGTTCAGATGCACGTTTTTAAAAACACATATATATATATATATAAGTTGGAATTAATTAAGGAAACGAAAGTGAAAATAAAAACGTATAACAGAAAAAATATTCATCTCGTAGTCATCCGAAAATATAGAGTAAATTGAAATTTATAGAGTACTTTTGCCTTGCTTTTAAAAACTTAAAATTATATAATATAATATTATATAATATAATATTATATAATATAATATATAGTATAATACACACATAAAAATTTTAATGTGTATATTATACTGGTTACTATAATTAATGCTTTGTCATTGTTTATATCGAGTACTTGCTTGATAAGTTTGTGGAAGCTTTTTGCCTTTTCGGATGCATTCTTTAAAAATTAGCGGTTTCTTTTTTGATGATAAATTGAACATAAAATAACTGGGATATGTAAAAAAAAGTTCTAAATACCAACAAGGACACTTTTTTTAACTTGGATATTTCTATATAGGTGATAGTTTATCCGGTAAAAATATTTTAAGAAACCCAGCGTTGCCAGATGTACCTGAAATCAACGGCAACTTTGGAATTTTAAACTTAGCACTATTTTTTAGAATTTAGAAATGACTAATATAATAATGAATAATAAAATATACGTACTATTTTTTAAAAAAATAATGGATGTCTATATATTTTTTTAATCGTAGGATAGTATTAGTTGGTGACAAATTTTACCAAAAAATTTGTGTATTGTTTTGTACTGAAATTCATAGGTGCTTTGGAGTAAATCTGGCGAGACTTGGTGTCTAATATAATTTTTATAGGGGCTCATATTTTTAAATGGCTATCAATAATTATGTTGGGGGGGGGATCTTTTCTTTCTTCTCTATTTCCGCCTTTGCTTTTCTTTCCTAATTTTAGTTAGTTCAATGTTTAATAATTAATTCCGTTTTTCATTCCCTTGCGTTTTCCTTCTTATCATTCCTGTCTTTTTTCTACAGTAGTTAGTAATTATTATGGTTCCTTCATTTGTTTCCTTTTTTCAATTTTTCTTGTCTCACTAACTTTGTTTACTTCTTTCGCTTTTCTTCCTTATTTTCTTTTTGCTGGCCTTTTTCCTTGTTTGCTTTTCCGTCGATATCTATTTTGTGTCATTATTTTTCAGTTACCGTTACCACCGTTACTACAACAATCGCATTTCGTTGTTTCAGCAGTCATACGGCAGCACTCTGGACCGATGGAGCATATGTAATCCCGAGGAGGAGCCTCTGGTCCTCCAGCAATTTCTCAGGTTCGGAGAAACCAGAGCCATAACGCAACAGCTCCTTTTGGCGCAACAGGCCCTTCAGGATCGCACCCTGGAGCGTCTGGAGCGCCGACACTCGCCGCACCTACGGGCGATGTCACCCAGTCGTCGCCCATCGCCGCCGACCGTACCGCCGCCGCCGTTCCACCCCCAATCGCACACGATGTCGCCGCACCAAAAGCATCCCCTGGGTTTTTTGAAAATGCCACCGGCCGTCGCTAGCAACGGTCCGATTTCGTCGACGTCGCCGCCCACCAGTATTAGCAGCAGCCCGTTGAATCGACTCCAGAACATGCAACCGTTCGATTATCGAAAACTAGGACCGAGCATATCGGCATTTTCGAATCGCGTCAGTCCGGAGATGACGTCGCGACGCCGTACCGGAGAAACCGAACCGCCCTCGGTCGGTCTCAACCTAAGCATGGCGACGTCGTTGCCGAATTGTCTACCGCCGCCGCCGCCGCCACCACCGACGTCTTTAGCGCACTCTGCGGCCGCGATGGCCGCCGCTGCCAATTCTCTAGCGGCCGCCAGTCTCGTAGCTTCGTCCTTTCCCGGCCTGATGACCGCCCGTATGTCGACCGGACGAAGCAAATCGCCGGACATGTTTTGCGGCAACAGCGAAGAAGAAGACGCCGACGAGAATTCGCAAAGCGTGTTGAATTTGAGCCGTGACGCGTCGTCGAAGACGCCGAAACACGGCGTACGCGCGTTACCCGGCAGAAAACCGTCGACACCGACGAAACGTCAATGGGGCTCGCCCGGTTTACCGTTAAATTTGGGCACGCAATTTATTAACCCCGCGACCGGCAAGAAACGCGTCCAGTGCAACGTCTGTCTGAAAACGTTCTGCGACAAGGGCGCGTTGAAGATACATTTTTCCGCGGTGCATTTGCGCGAAATGCACAAATGCACCGTCGAGGGTTGCAACATGATGTTCAGTTCGCGACGTTCGAGGAACCGGCACAGCGCGAACCCGAACCCGAAGCTACACTCGCCGCATCTGAGGCGGAAAATATCGCCCCACGACGGGCGCAGCTCGCAATCGCATCCCTTATTGATACCGCCCCAGACGGGGCTGTCTTTGCCGGCAGCGGCCGCCGCCCTGAATCCTTTGAATCCGTTCGGTCCGTTTCCGTTGCTGACGCCTCCGCCGGACATGAAGTACCATTCTCTAGCGACGATGGATTTTAAGCAAACGTTAGATTTAAGCATGCAACGGATCGAGGAGAACAACAAACACGTAGCCAAAGATTTCGCCGTTTCGGCGCTCGTCGGTAACCAGCAAACGTCCGAGGAAGAGGAGGACGACGACGACGGCGGCGGCATCGTCGTCGTCGGCGGCGACGACGACGACGAAACAATGCCGGAAAAATGCGACGAAACGAATCAGCCGAAAGACTTCAGTATGCCCGCGAAGAAGCAAAAAATGTCTGTGTCGGACGCGGACAGTAACGAAGAGGATTCGTCGAGCGTCGTCGACAATCACAGTTTGAAAGACGAGGCGAACGTGTCGACGAACAACAAGCGGAAACGGAAAAGTCAGAATCCTACGCGTTGCGCGGTCGCGACCGCGATGACGGACGACGCGGTTAGCGACGCGGATTCGTCGAACGACGATTTTGTCGTCGACGCGTCGAAAAAAAACGACCAAGTCGAACGACGCGAGTCGTCGCCTTTAGATTTGGGCGCGGCGACGCGTAGTCCGGACGTGAACGCAAACGAGCCGGAAAAAACGTCCGAAATCAAAACGTCACTCGCTCCACTATTTTCGATCGACAAGTCGAAAAAAGAGAAACCGCTCCACGAAGCGGACGCGGCGTCCTCGCACGAAGAGACGGACGAACGGCCTGCCAGTTCAGTCGAGAGCAACAAAAGCGACGAATCATTCGACGCGTTGAACCCGTTACGGCATCTCGAGTCGTTGTCGCACGGCCACTTCGGCGACATGATGACGCGCGGCCTTCATTTGGGATTGAGTTCCGCTTCCCAATTCCCGCCATTGGGGTTTATGATGGGCCCCCCGAGTCCCGCGAGGTCGCAAGCGTCGTCGGCGGGCAGCAGCAACGGCGCCGAATCCGCGGACGAGAATAGTCAAAACCAAATATTCGGTCATTTCGATAACGGCCAGTTTATCAGCACGATGGACGTGCCTATCGATAAAGACAATCCGCGACGTTGCACCGCGTGCGGTAAAATATTTCAAAATCATTTCGGCGTGAAGACGCATTATCAGAACGTGCATTTGAAATTGATGCACAAGTGCAACGTCGACGGTTGCAACGCGGCGTTTCCGTCGAAACGCAGCCGGGATCGGCACAGCGCGAACCTGAACCTTCACCGGAAACTCTTGTCGACGTCGTCCGACAAAAGCGGCGGTAGTTTGTCGCCGTTTAATTTCGCCGCGAATCCGACGCTGCACGGCGATTTCCTGACGCGTTTTTACGCCGAGGAAGCCCTCAAAGGCGGCCACCATTTGCCTCCGCCGAATTTGGATCAGCTCATATTGAACGGCGACAGAATACCGCATCCTCCGCTGCTGTTGCCGCCGTTAGGCAATCTTCCGTTTCCGTTGAGTAGTTTCGGTCATTTTAATCAATTCAACGGCAATTCGACGCGCAAAGAACGATCGTCGAGTTCGAGTTCGCCCCAATCCTCTTCCCCACCACCGTTGAATTTATCGCCCGGTCCCGTAAAGTACGTGCATTGCGTCGAGGAAGATCTGCCAACCCCAGACCGCGACGGTAACCTACCCTGTCGATTTTGTCGTACGACTTTTTCGAATCCGTCGCAATTGAAAGATCACTGCGAGCGGAATCATTTGGGGGACATGTTTAAATGCACGGTGATGGGGTGTCCGAAGGTTTTCGTCTCGCGGACGAGGAGAAACGTCCATTCGGAGAACGAGGCATCGCACGCGACGTCGACGGCGAAAAACGATTCGGACGTGTCGTGACCTTCGAGAGGCGGCGCGTTAGAGTTAAGGACTATCCCGTCGTGGTGGTGATCAAACCAGTAAAGTACTTATCCGCGGTTAGATAATTTCCTATATGTGATTATAGATTAATTGATTCTTAGGGCGTAGACTTTTCTTTTTATGTTTTGTCTTTTTTTTTTTGAAGCCAGTGTTGTTTTTCATTTTTAATTTATTTCGCTTGTATAAAGGTTTTTTTGTTTTTGATACGTTTTAATTATTACTAAGTAGGACCCAAACTTGTACAAATACGAATATGTAGCCAGTCCAGAAATGAATACTCATTTTGTAAATAATCGTAGTCGTCGTAGTAGTTCTTTTCGTTTTGTTTTTTTTTCTTCTTTTTGAGGACGCTACCTGCATGTGAATAATAAAAGATTGCTCATTTTCGTGGTAACAAAGTAATAAACTAAATGTAATCGATATTATTCACTGTCAACAAATTTTAGTGATCTAGTAAACCAATGTATATTTAAATGTGCAATAACGTTGTAAATACGCCCACATTGCTTATATTTATGTATAGATGTACATAACGCGCAGTTTTAAAGGACAAATACTTGAATTCCTAACGGTATACGAAGCGCAAAAAAATCCTGAATCCCTTTTTAAGTTTTGCACGCGTCAAATTTTGAAGAAATAACAAACATTTTCGGTTCAATATTAATCGATCAAATGTTATTTGTTATTGCACCATCCCCGTGTACAGAAAAAATATGTATCGCCTTTTATGGGCTTAATAAAAATATAGCTGTCGTATTACGATTTAATTTACTCCACCTATTTCCCAATTGCCTTGGTGGTACACAGCAGTCACTCAGATAAGGTAAGTGTAGTCTGGGCATTAGAAACAAGTTCATTATAATTTGTCGTCTATTATCAAACCAGATCATAAAAATTCCAATATCTTAATGACATCTAAAAGTCAAAACGACTTACAGATGCATGATGCGTCTCAAAAGATGATGTTTAATTGCGCATGTTCGAGAACAGCATTAGTCAAAAGACTTTAACAGAACGGTCTCGTTTATAAACAGAAATTACCAATTTGAATTGTTCTAAAATGCTTAAGCATTTAAATATAATTAAGATTTATTTATTGCGTGGGAATCTGAATCTTGATTTGATGGTTTTAGGCGAACGTAACATCTTTATTAGATTGACCAAAGGTGTGATGTGCGTAAAAAATTAGTTCCACGCGATTATACGTTAACGAGATACCGTCCGGCGACCACGGATGAAAGAAAAAAAATCAATTTGACGGGCATACGGGACCCATCGATAATTTATTAAAATATCGTATCGAGGGGTTTTGTTTTGATAAGTGTTCTATTTAAATGAACCGATCCATTTCATGGCCTTGAAGGTTGCGGCTAGTTTTCGGCCTCGGCAAAGGGGCCCGCAGCCCTGTAAATAATGAGTCTGTGTGACTTACTGCGGGGGGGCATGCGAGACTCTGCCCCCGGGGGGCCGTATTCATTTTCAATCACCACTGGATACTGACTGGATCTGTTTTAATTTTCTATAAAGAATTATTGTTTTGTAACACTTGCTTCGCTAATCGCCAAAGTAATTGTTTACGTTTGGACGTAATTAATAACTTGGGATTAATTATTTCATTCCGACGAAATGATCTCGTAATCAAACTCCATTCTTTGTGTGGCATATTAAGCCGGTGCTTTCGCTATTGATTTGAGTGGACCGTTCTATAAAGCGGTTTTTATTTTTAAAAAATAATTTACCATAATAAATAAGTTTAGTACAACCTTTATTGGTGAAGATACAACACAACTGTTTGGAACGGTTTCATCATTTTATGGGTGGTGCTTTTTAACGACGAATTTGTTTTTTAAAGTTTATTGATTTGTACTCTTAGGGCAATTCTAATTGCCGTGGCCGTTTTGAGCTTCTTAATTATTACTTACGTTACTAGAAGGAGCGAGTCAGTTACCGACGAGATATTGGATTGGGTGCTGCCGCCGTCGAGACTTACTTCTCGGAGAAGCCCCTAGACGGATATCACCATTTTTGAAGCAACCAGTCAAGGTACGACCACCCAGACACACACATTTTTCTCAGGACAGAAGCATATCTTAGACATTTTTCAATGTTGCCAAGTTTCAGACTATCCCATTATTATGCCGTTATTTATTACAGAACAATAAACAAATGACGCATCGCTTGGAATATTCAGGGACTCAAATGGTGCTGCGGCCGTCCGAAGATCATGCCTACCACATCTTAGACGCAGTATCCTGTCAATGAAACAAGGTGAGACTGGTGGGACTTCACTTGGTAAATTCCTGTGATGTTCTAGAAGATTTTTAAATTTATCGTGATTGTAGACGACCTGTACACTCATTCTCCTTACACCCCTATCACACGTACACACACAACAAAAAACAGTCTTTACATATTTGCTGTTTTTTCTTTCTAGTTGCTGATTTGGGAGACCAACAACGGTTCAGTTTCGCATCCAAGGCAGGCAGGCAAATTGCAGACACGCGAGAACCATCAGTTTATTAACTGAAATGTATCACTTTCTATTGTTTTTAATTATTTTTATCAATAAATTTTCACAATTGTGTATTATTTGGTATGCTTTTTTGCGGTTTTATCTCCTTTCCTACTGGCCCAATAAAAAAAAATATTCTGATTGATTGAATCCAAATGGTGGAAAAATGGCGAAAAAGAGCTTCGAAATCTGTGATTGGGGCAGCGAATTTATTTATAAACCATTTAAAATTTTCTTGACAAATTGGTGGATGCGCAATATTTTTCCTACCTCCTCGCCTGTCTGCTCTCATGATAAAAATCGAAAATTTTTGCTACAATCTGACAGAATAGTGCACAAAACGATCGATTGTTTTAATCAGCGCATTCACCATAAATTTTAAAAACTTCACGATAGAATTTTGCCAATTTTTCACGGTGTTGTCAGATTGCGTAAAATTTCATAAAATGAAGGGAAATCGGACTACAAAACAGATGTTTTTTCTAGAAATTGCTTAAATTTTGGAGATTCTGGCAACGCAGCAAAAATGTTAAAAATTCTATGATGTTCTAGAACATTTTTAAAGTTATGGTGGATGCGCTTGTTTCGATCGTTGACCGTTTTGTGCAAAATTTGGCCGATTTACGCGAAATTTGTCGATTGTTAGCAGGAAAACACAATTGGCGAGGAGGTATGAAAAGTATCAGGAGCAAAGAATGTTAAAATTATTGCGCATCCGCCAATCTGTCAAGAATTTTTTTGGACATTTAAAGAATTTGACGATTTTGTGTGAAATTTGACCAAATTTTCTCATTTTTTTCCATTTTTACCACGAGACGAGGAGGTATTTCAATTTATCGGGCGCGCAATAGGCGTGGCCAAAATCGAACAATCAGAGAATTTCACGATATTTTTCCACCATTTTTCGGCCTGGGGCGTCTTTAACTTGAGCCAATCTCTAGTCTATTTCGCCAAAGGAAAAACACATTCAGAATTTAACTCACATTTATTAAGAAACTTGTAATGCACATATCAGTCAACTTAAGTAATTTAACATACACTCTATTTACCATACACATTAAAACGCACTCCATGCCGCTTCTCCCGGATTGCCGTCCTTCCTTGTAGTTCTGCAAAAAAATACCAAAACGTTAATACGACTCCAATTTTTTATTAACCACTTAAGGCCTTTTGCACAATTGGACATCACACAGGTTAATTTTTTTTAATATATACTTTTGCACAATTCGACATCACACAGGTTATTTTTTTCAGTATAAACTTTTGCAAACGTATAAAGGAAGAATGTTGAAAACTTACGTGCGAGGGAAACAACGTTCGATTCTGTCCTTCAGCGTTGTTGTCACAGATTTCGAGATGACATTTCCAGCTACCTGGGCACCATCAGTATTGATTCTTGCAACATTATGTCGAAATGACGCACTGACTCCACGATGCGTCTCAGGGACAGTGAAGTTCTTCATAGTTTTCACACCTAAACCATGTAAACATGGTCAGCATATGTCCGCAAACGCCAAATCATTGATAACTTACACACTGCTGCACGAGCCATCTTCTGCAAGCGCCTCTTCTGAATGTCAGATTATTTATCCGCAACGGAATTTCTTCGAGATATGAGAATTTTCCATGATGGGAATTGCATTCTGAAACATTAAGTGAATAAATAAACGTGTAAATGTGTGTCACAGCAAGTGCATCAATATGCTTAAATATAAGTGTGTATGTGTTTTTTTTTGTATAGTATACGTATGATCGGGCTTAGTTGTTTTTTCTGAGCATGTCGGGCTCCAGATATTAATACTGACTAACACCTTAGCTGCCCTCCGAGCTCTGATCCCCACGGTATCCGCCACTAGGTGGGGGGAGGATTTGACTGCTGCTCTTTCATCTGGTAGCTTCTTCCTTCTCTTCTAATTGGCGACGTTTCTGCTTCTTCCCATTGACCGCAAATCTGTGAGGACTTCAGTTATGTACTCGCCGATGGTGTTCCAAGCGGCTTCTAATGACAACATATCTTCTTCTACAGTCTCTGATCGAATTGTCCGTGTCGGAATTGTCTCCAGTTCATCTCGTTGTGGACTAAAAAGTGGGCACTCAGAGAATACGTGCTCTGCATCCTCAAAAACTGCTGCGGAGAATCATAGTGCTTGAAGCGGTGAATATAGATCTTCGTTAGTGTAGTGTAGTGTAGTTTGCTTCTTCCGATGGTAAAGGGTCCGTCTTTCCGTAGTTAGACCAAGAGGTAAATTTCCCTAAATGACACACACTGCTTCCTCAGATATTGTGCGGAAGACGCTTGCAACTCGTAGGGCAGTGTAAGTGAGTCTGTGAGTGTTAGTCATACTTATACCTTATCAAATGACCACGACGTCTCAGACACGTGGTCAATCTGCAACGTGCAACCAATGAGAACTTTCTTTTTCAAAAGATAAAAAGAATTTAGTGTGACTGGATGCCTCAGTGTTTAATTGTAAGTGTATGCGGGCATATGTGTATAGGTCTATGAAATGTGTGCCTGCGTAACATGAGGGTGCGTATGTAGAGGGGAATTTGTGGATTTATTGATGTTTATATGAGTAAGTGTGTGAGGACACAATACTTTAGTGTGTTAAAATAAAAACAAGTCTAATATTAAACCATTTAAACGAATTCCATCTAACGACATCTACTGCCCAAAGACACCCAAGGGGCAATAGCAGAAAATATGTTTGCGATTAATTCACAATTAATTTTCCGGACCATTTTGAAAATTACATATAATTTAACAAATTCTTAATTGCTATATTCCCAGAAGAACCGCCGCATAGACCCTTGTCAAATTTTTGGGCCGCCGAACATACCTGCTTATTAGTGTGTCACACATGTCTCAACGCGAGAAAAGAACAATCTTATATGATCTCGAAAGACGCGACAGCCATTTATACAAACCGCTGCGACGCGTACTTTTGCATTTGCATTTTTTGCATTTCCTACACCGATATCGAATAAAAAAAAACGAGCGAAAACCACGGATAAGTGTGGCCGTTTTTTTCCCCCCTTTTCAGTTAAGTTGTACCTACACGATAAGAGGCCGCGATAAACCGTTTAGCTTCGGGCCAAAAAGACAGACACGCTTTGTCGTAGCCGCTATTAAATAATCGCCGAACGCCCAATAAATTTCGGTAGATAACATCGTCATTTTGACATGTCAACAATTACTAATACCGTGACTTACTTGATATATTTTTAATTAGTA